GTTACGAGCTGATGTACTATTATGCTAAAATTTAAAAAAAAAAAAAGAAAAAGAAAAGAAAAAAAAAAGAATAAACGTATCAAACAATCGTATCTCGAAATACTTTTTTCACGACGAACGATGGAGTTCGTCCGATTTATACTTATGGCTCGTGTCATCATCACATTTTTAACGTAGGGTTCGACTTGTATTAAAAAAAAAAAAAAAGAACAGAGTTTAAGACTGCGTGCGTTTAAAATCTAGTAAGAAACTTCCAGTGTATAGAGATCCTTGCAATTCTGCATATACCTGCGAACACCTGTTATATCCATCGATCGCACGATTTGAAACGATATACCGTATATTTTATACACGCGTAACGACGACGAACATCGAACGAGAAGGATAATATATTCTTCCATAGTATAGTTTATTATTACGATTGATTGTTAAAAAAAAAAAAAAAAAAAAAAAGAAGAAAAAAGGAAAAATCTGTACAACGAGCAAAAAGTAGCAAATTCATCTTCGCAATATCCACGTTGTAAATCTATAGTAGACATTGTTGTAGAGATATCGTTGAAAATTTGCGAAACACCGAGGGTAAATGTGCTTGAAAATCGAACGAGGAGTAATATCGTCATCGTGACGCTTCTTAGAAAGTAAGACTTTTTATATCCCAAAGATTTTACGCATACGATTATTAATTATTGATATGTTTCATTTCTTTTCTATTTTTTTTTTTTTTTTTTTTTTGTTTTTTTTCTTCGAATAAACGCATTCTATCGAGAACAACTTGGTATTGACTCCTCTCTCTCTCTCTCTCTCTCTCTCTTTCTTTTTCTCGCTCCATTCTCATTTACTTAAAACGTTTAACGCGCGTATCATCCTCTCATCGATCGATTCCTCTCTCCCTCCCTCCCTCCCTCTCTCTTTCTCTCTCTCTCGCTCGTATCGAGAAAATCTCGTCCAACGAGTTGGTCCAGTTAATCAAGAGTGTTCTATCGATGGACACGCGGAACGCTGGCCGTTAACTCGGTTCGCCAGGATGAAAGTCGGAAAAGAAAGAGGAGGCGAGAAACCGCAACGCGTTCTCCCATTGTTGAACCCGGCCTAGATCGATCTCTTAGAGACACGCACCACAGATCGAACACATGCTCCAGTGTCGACGGATAACACATTTAACACCTTTCTCGGGTTGGTAAGAGTTTAATTTTTTTTTTTCCCCTCTCTCCCCGTTCTTCCTCTCTGTCTCTTTCTTCTGTATTCCGCGTTTTTCTCTTTCTTTCTTTCTTTCTTTTTTTTTTTCTCTCTCGTTCTCGAACCAAAAATCGGCCGTTTCGATCGAATGGATTTCTTGACCATCTCTCGATACGATCATAGGCTTTATTATACGTGAGAGAAGGATCGCAGGTTAAAGAAACGTGGGATTGGTTTTTCAGGGCGGTGGCGGCTTGGTTCAGCATTTGAAGAAGAGCTACAGCCTGAGCGACCTGACCGGCGAGAAAGAGGACGAGAATAGAAACACGCCGCACATGCACGACGAGACGGACATGGAAGGTTATTGGCCGATTATAGTCCTATTCTCGCTTCTTTCTCTTTTCTTTCAATTGCGAGGAAGAAACGTCGCTTGTTATTTTTTTTTTTTTTTTTTGTGATAATAAACTGATTAATCGATTTACGCGATCTCGGCGAGTTTGAGATACGTGGTTAAGGGTGGTGTGTAAAGTTTCGAGTTATTCGCCTCTGAATCTTTTTTGTTCAATTGCGTATGTCAATGTATGAGTCATAACGCGATCGTTATTTATTAA